TGTAGCCCCCAGTGTGGGATGTGCACCAATGATCTAGGTGAATGTGGAATGATGTTAGGGGCACTCAGAGGTGGGATGCATTCACACAGAAGCACAGAATGAGGAAGTTATCCCCTTTTCCATTGTCTCCTAGTCATCGTTCCATCACAACGTCTGTCTGGTGCTGGCATCTTTCGCACCTCTCCCACACATGCCAATCTGCGCTTCTAACCGAGGGAGAAGGTCCCAGGGTTCGAGTCTTCGCTAGGATACAGGATCTGGATAGAATCTAATGATAATTTTATCTTCACTTTATTGGTTTTTACAAAGACTGTATTTTCTATTTATAACAAGTGATATGAGCCCTCCATTTAGTGAGACAAATTTCTTCTTAAAACAAAACTGGTCAAAACACAGTTGATCAAAATATTAAGAAGATATTACTTCAGGTGGTACGGGAATATGGAAAAACTTGTGCAAGTAAGTAGTGTAGGATGAGGGTCCCCTGAGACACCACATGTCTTGGGTCCATGGCCTCCCATGAAAGGCCAGTTCACGATCACAGCACCACAGACAACTGAGGACAGGCTAGCTGCGAGCCCAGCCACGGATGAAGTCCGAGAGCTTCATGGACGTCGAGTCAGTGGGTCCCTTCATCACCTTGGGGAGTCTCTGGGTTCCCGGACAGAGGCGTCCAGGCCAACCTTCTGCTGACGGTCACTCTCCTCCTGGCCAGTAAACTGCCAGGGCAGCCGAGCATGACTTCTGACGACGAGGCCACATGACACAGTCCAGAGAGAAGGGGACAGAGAGAATCAGTGAGGAGGCTAGAGACGTGCAGAGTGGAGACAGAGGTGACAAGAGAAGACAGCAATAAACATTCTAAGTGAGGACGGAAGGACCGCCTTGGAAATGTGAAGAAAAACCCATGAAGCTCATTACACCCACGGATGTACACGTGTGTGCTGCCTCTCACACCTGCGTGTGCAGCCACACCTCATTTTATTGCGCCACACTGCTCTTCGCAGGTACTGTGGTTTTCAGAAATTACAGGTTTGTGGCAACCCTGCATTGAGCACGTCTGTCAGCGCCATCGTCCCAACAGCGTTTGCTCACTGGCCCTGGGTCACATTTTGGCAATTTTCACAATATTTCAAACTTTTCCATCATTAGTAGATTTTTAATGATGATCTGTGATCAGCGCTCTTGGAAGTTACTACTGTAATTGTCTCGGGGTGCCACAGACCACGCCCATGTAAGATGGCGAACTCTATGGATAGATGTGGTATGTGTTCTGACTGCAGATGTGGAAATAGCAAGAGAACGAGAATTAGAAGAGGAGCCCGAAGATGGGACTGATTTGCTGGAATCTCATGATAAAAACCTAATGGATGAAGGGCACCTGGCTGACTCAGTCAGTGGAGCATGTGACTCTTGATCTCAGGGCCACGAGTTCAAGCCCCACGTCGGGTATAGAGTTTGCTTAAAAATAAACAAAATCTTGGGGCACCTGGTTGGTTAAGCGGCCGACTTCAGCCCAGGTCATGATCTCATGGTTCATGAGTTCTAGCCTCGCTTTGGGCTCTGTGCTGACAGCTCAGAGCCTGGAGGCTGCTTCGAATTCTGTGTCTCCCTCTCTCTCTCCGCCCTTCCCCTGCTCGCACTCTGTCCCTCTCTCAAAAATAAATAAACATTAAAAAAAGATTAAAACTTTTTCACTTTAAAAAATAAAATCTTTAAGAAATATTAATGGATGAAGAGTTGCTTATTCCGGATGAACCAAGAAAGTGGTTTCTTCAGATGGACTCTATTCCTGGTGAAGATGCCATGAAGATTATTAAAATGACAACAAAGGACTTAGAAATGTAGTTGATAAAGCAGCAGCAGTGTTCGAGAGGCTCGACTCCAGTTTGGAAAGAAGTTCTACTGTGGGTAAAACGCTATCAAACAGCCTCACACACCACAGAGAAACATCTGTGAAAGAAAGAGTCACCCCATGCAGCAAACTTTATTGCTGTCTTATTTTAGGAAATTGTCACAGCACCCCCAACCTTCAGCAACCGTCACCCCTCTCAGCCGCCATCGACACGGAGGCAAGACCTTGCAGCAGCAAAAAGATTACAACTCATGAAAGCTCAGATGATGGTCAGCGGTTTTTAGCAGTCAAGTATTTCTAAATTGACGTACTTTCAAAAAAATTTTTTTTAACGTTTATTTTTGAGAGACAGAGCAAGACAGAGCGTGAGTGGGGAAGGGACAGAGAGAGAAGGAGACACAGATTCCGAAGCAGGCTCCGGGCCCCGAGCTGTCAGCACAGAGCCCGACGCGGGGCCCGAACTCACGGACTGTGAGATCGTGACCTGAGCCGAAGTCGGACACCCAACCGACGGAGCCACCCGGGCTCCACAAATTGATGTACTTTCAAAAAGACACAATGAGTCGCATACTTAATATACTATAGTACGTGGTAACCATAACTTCCATCTGCACTGGGAGGCCAAAAGTTGATCTGATTGGCTTTACTGCGATATTCACCATACTGCAGTGGTCTGGGACCTCACCCATCGCACCTCTGAGGTGTGCCCATACCTACACCACAATGTTAGAGGATTTGTGGGCTCCAGATTTTGAACTCCAGCTTTACATTCATACCTAGAAATTCCCTCGTTGAACCAATTCGTGCCTAACTACAGAGACACCTAGTTTTGCCATTTTGGGGACATACGTTATTCCCACTCATCCATCGTGAATGTACCACACTTCTCTCCTTCCGCCGGTGCTCAGATGTTTCCATCAAGGAACCTCAACCCAGAGCAAAACAAACGCATTCTCCAGGACCCTGAGATGACTCCTCCGGAAACTCCTCAAAAGTTCAAAAAACGTTTTTTTCGTGTTTAGCTCAAAAATTGACTCCAGTTTTGGATCCCACTGACAAAGAGCCATGCGTTTTGACATAACATTTCTCTGCAAAGATCACCAAGTACAGTGGCCTTCTGGGAAGATGACGCCTGCTGATACAAATGCTCCTTGGCCCGCTGGCTGGGACATGTGCCAGGGGGCCAAGGAGCATTTGTATCAGCAGGCGTCATCTTCCCAGAAGGTCACTGTACTGGACTGGAGAAGAAAGGACCTGCTTTGTGCCAGTCCCCGTTCCAGGCATGTGGTGATTAAGAAATCTCCTAGGGCAGGGACCCAGCTCCTCTCCCCATGCCCATGGTGCCTTCCCCCAGAGCAGAGCCCCCGGGGAGCTTGGTTTTGCAGTAGCTACAGGATGCCTCCTTTGAGAGCAACACAAAGTAAGACTTGAAGATCTCTGACTTTGGAGCCGCACAGCCCTTAGTTCGAAGCCCAGGCTGCTGTTTATAGGACTCCTGCCGTTGAGTACTTTCAGCATTGTAAAAAAAAAAAGGGGGGGGGTAGGGTGCCAGCTGGAAGGAAAAGGCAACTCAGCTTAGGAGGGAGCAGTTGAGGGAGGTTCTAAAGCTGTGGGGAGCACGGGTGATGAGCCCAGACGTCGCCATCAGGACACCTGGGTTCTCCTAGCTGTATGCTGTCAGCCTTGAGAGTTCGGATAGGGAGCATTCCCTTCACGCCTCTGTGTCTTTCTTGTGTTTCTTTCTTGTGTATGGGATGGTCCCTAAGGTCCTCCCAGCTCTGATGAGTTCCGCTCAACATTTCAGTTTCACTGGGTATCGTTCTCGGCTTTATTGTCTTTACGATGCCGACTTTCCTCATCGTTTCTAAAAGTGCCGCGTGTACACCATCCCCATCTTATAAAAATAACAGCTATCTCTTATTAATGCTGCTCTCGGGTCTCAAAATGTTCTCTCCTGAATATACGAAGATCCAGAGTCCCTGTTCCCAGCACGGATGTTTTAACTGCTCAGGAGGTTATGTAACTAGACTTGTTACACTCCCAGGAGGCAGAGCCGAAACAAATTACACAAAGAGAAGCCATTCCTTATCTGGCCTAGAATGTTTCTCTAGCCAAGAATCCAAGATGATGCTCATATCCCCAAGGGTTAATTTCTTGTTTCTTTTTTCACTGTGCACAATAAATGCCTGTTTAGCTAGGCACTGCCCCCAGCCCCGCTGTCCATAATGAGCACTCATGTAATCTTAGTTAATAAAGTGAGGATTTATTCAGTTTTCAGTTCTAATAAATAGTCAGCCATTATCTTTCCAATGGGCTCCATGCCCCGGTTAAAAAAAAAAAAAAAAATGAAACGGTCTCTGTGACCACTGGAAGGAAGAACGTTAAGCTATATTCTTTCCTTGCCAAAAAAAAAAAAAAAAAAAAAAAAAAAAAAAAAAAAAAAAAAAAAAAAGAGCCTGTCCACTACTTGGCTGCAGTTTAAAGGCCTGAAGCTTTCTTCTTACCACGCCGAGGTCCCACAGACACCTTAGCCCAGCATTAGGATCTTAAAAATAAAAGAAAGGAAAAACAAAACGCAGAGAAGCAGACCCAAAGAGCAGACCAGGTGATTTCCCCATCCGTCGCACTGTGGACATATCTGCTCTGAAGGAAGCCCAGGGCCCAGGCACCTTCTGAAGCATCCCCCCCCTCCTCTTTTCTGAAGGGGCTGGGAAGGGCAGTGGGTCCAGCCATTCAGGGTTCCAGGGGGGGAAAATGAGGATTTCCGTTCAGGATTTTTATTTCCAAACGAAGACCAGAGCAGCAGGGAAATAGAGACTCACTTAAACCCCCTTCCCTTAGGCAGTTAAAGCCCTGGAGGAAGGGGAGTAAGACAACTGTGCAATGTCTTAGGCTGCCTCTGGGATTCATTCTCAAGACTGAATTCAGACCTCACAGAATAAAGACAAGGAGAAGGGCCTCCGGCCTCGGTCTGCAGCCCTAGAAGGTGGCTGGCTGCCCGAGGAGAAGAGCTTTCTAAGGCTGGGCCTGCAGAGGGTGACAGGACGACTCCAGAGGGGACACGCCCCGGCACAGAGCTGAGCCGGTGCCAATCCCCCCATCGCCCACTCTCCTGGCCTCCACGCCCAGCGGCCGCTCCTCGCTCCTACCTGTCCCCACTGGTCTCCGCCAACCTGTTGTTCATTATGGCAAAGGCCCCCACCCCCCCTGAGAACTCGTTGTCCCGGGACGGCGCGCTGGCCTGGGGCGGGCAGCCGTTGGCCGTCTCAGACAGCTGCTTCTGGAGGATGGCCAGCGAGACCTTGTTGGCGGCCAAGAAGTCCTTCATGGAGATCATCTCCCCCGAGAGACGCCGCCCGTCCGTGTCGCTGTCCATCACCCCATCCGTGTCTATGGAGATGTTGCCCCGGTCCTGGATGTTGCCCGGCATGACCACGTTCCTCCGGGACCTCAGGAGCCTCCTTTGGCATCGTCGGCAGCACCCGCCATCCATTTTCCTCAGGATCCAATTCACGGACTGTTTGATGAGGATGGAGATGACGTTGAACAAGGAGTAGATGCAGCAGACGCCCATGAGGATGAACATGAAGTTGGCAAAGCGGTAGAGGCCTTGGCTGTCATACTGGGCGTTCTGGCTGCTGACGAGGTCCCCGAAGCCAATGGTGCTGAAGGCCACAAAGCAGAAGTAGAGTGAGTCGAAGTAGCTCCAGCCTTCGATGGAGGTGTACATGGCCGATGCGCAGCAGGAGATGAGCAGGGAGGCCAGGCACAGGATCAGCATCACGTAGTACACGGAGGGCTTCCAGCCGGCCGAGCTATCCCCCTCGCACCTGCCCGGGGGCTTCAGGCTCTCCCGGGACAGGGCCCCTCGTCTCCGCAGCCGTCGCTGGTGGCATGACTTCATGATGTAGGCAATGACGGTGATGAGGCGCTCCAGGAAGAGGTTGAAGAACAGGATGGTGCTCGCGCACCCAATGAGGCCGTAGAAGATCAGAAAGATTTTTCCTCCCACTGTCGCCGGAGTGGTCATCCCAAACCCTGCGGGAGACAAAAATCAGAGGAGAGAAGAGTGAGGGAGGCCTTTGCTGGGAATGCGGCCAGGGTCTCGGCATAGATGACTGGCCAAAGATCCGAAGAAAGAGTTTCGTAAAAGCACTCGGTCCTAGCCGTTCTAGGAACAAAGGAGAGGACGCTCCCTTCCTTTTGAAGATGCTATGTGTTTCTCTGGAGCTGCCCGGCTGAAAGCGCGTATGGTGCCATCGTACAGATCAGAAAAAGGCATCTCTTCCTCCGGGTGGATACAGTCAGCGAAAAATGGCCAGGCGATGAGAATGCGAGCTGGATTTCAGCCTCCCCTCCCGACCGGGCTGGACGTCCTGTACAGTGCACAGCCTGAGCCACCATACTCAGCAGACATTGTTCAGACAAACAACAAACAGCTCATACGAAGAAAAGGCTCATACAGACTCCTCAGAATTCATTTATTCTACAAATACTTATTCAGTGCCATTCGAGGAATGGGGGATTGAACTCTAAGAAAGCCAGATCTGGTCCCTGCCCTCATGGAGCTCTAGCCTAGTGAGGGGATTACTACATCATATAGGTGTTGTGCTGAAGGAGGTGCAGGGTCCTATGGGAGTGGCTAAGAGGGGGAACCCAGCTCAGGCTTGGGATTCTGAGAAGACTAAGCAGGGATACTTGAAAGCTAAAGAGGAGTGAGGCAGGCAGGGAGGAGTGTGTGTGTGTGCATGTGTGTGTGCGTGTGCATGGTGTGGTGGTGCTCCAGGCAGAGAAACAGCAAATGCCAGCATACACAGAAATGACAAATTTGCTCAAGATTTTCCCGTCTTTTATTTTTATTATTTTTTTATGCTTATTTATTTTTAAAGGGGAGAGTGAGCAAGCGAGCATGAGCAGGGGAGGGGCAGAGAGAGAGAGAGAGAGAGAGAGAGAGAGAGAGAGAGAGAGAGGGAGACACAGAATCCGAAGCAGGCTCCAGCCTCCGAGCTGTCAGCACACAGTCCAACATGGGGCCATGAGATCATGAGATCATGGCCTAAGCCGAAGTCAAAAGCTCAACCAACTGAGCCACCCAGGTGCCCCTGTTTTTCCCGTCTTTTAAAAAAAATCCTTCAAGCACACACCTTATGCTTTGGGAGTGGAAACCGAGGTGTTGGTTTTTATAGTTTGATAAAATAGAAAATGTCTTTCTTGCCTTTGCCTCTGACTGTTCACAATTTCCACCTTCTTGATCTTTCTACCTAGGCACACAGACATGTTACTAAGAATACCAGCTGTAGGACAACGGACATCACTAAGAACAAGGAGAACAAGAAAGGAGCAGTGATACATTCAGTATTTCTCACTGAGGGTACCAAGGGTCAGCCCACTTGGAGGGACGTGGAATCCTTCCAAGCAAATGATTCAGTAACCATGAGAAGTCTGATCTGTTTGAAGGGAAGGGCATCAAAGTCTCGGAACACAAATGCCATTCAAAAAGTAAGTACTGAACATGCCTCCCTGGGTGCAGCCTTGTATTTGAACCAAACCTTCTTGTTTCCATTTTTTCTTTATTAGCAGGTTCAGGTTCCTAACCTGAGCCCCATCATTGGGATCTTGAGGACTCATCCCTTATCCTCTTTACAATGACACCCTGCTTGTCCCGAAGCCAGCACTTTTCTTTGTTGCCACAGCTCACCGTGGCTGCCTCCCAGGGCACTCTGGGAAGGGGTCAGATCAGACCTTGCCATGTGTGGGCTTCTGGGGTGATGACCTCCTCCTCTCCTCAGGCAGAGCCAAGGGGGCACCCCTCCCACCTAGCCACACATACTGTGTAACCATCTAGTTTTCCAATTAAATTTGATCTTCCTTCCACAGTATACAAACATCTACAGGAGGGTAGGGTGTTAACAGCCTATAGCCAAGAGACCAGCAGAAGATAGTAAATCTAGCTTTTGAGCTGGATGGGACATGATGATCTGGTAAGGAAGGATCAAGGGGCCAGGGATACTTTCGTGGGGAGTTACAGTTGTGGACCTTAATGGTAGAGAGAAAGTTAGATCCTCGTCTCTTCTCTGGGAACCCGTTTTCAAAATGAAAGGCCGCCGGCAACTCTTGGTAGTATTGATTTCATTTATTAGATAGCTTCCTTATGTAAAAAGAAATACTTTGTCTTTGCTGTGTGTTCTCTTGTTAGTACCTTTAATTCTTTTGTTTTTAATGTTTATTTATTTTTGAGAGAGAGAGAGAGAGGGAGAGAGAGACAGAGTGTGAGTGGGGGAGGGGCAGAGAGAGAGCGAGACACAGAATTGGAAGCAGGCTCCAGGCTCTGAGCTGTCAGCACAGAGCCTGACGCGGGGCTCGAACTCACAGACCGCGAGATCATGACCT